AACTCGCAACGATCCTCCTGCCTCAGCCTCCGGAGCGCTGGGATTGCAGGCGTGCGCCACCACGCCCGGCTTTGTCCTGTTGTTCATGCTGGTGAAAGAAGGGTCCCATTTCTTCTTGATGCTGGGAACTTGGAGGTCAGCCCAGGGGGCTCTAGTCCAACCCTACGCCCCGCTGTCCGTGACCTCGGACAAATCGTACAACCTCTCTGGGGCTCAGTTTCTTCATCTATAAAATGGAGATGACCATTAGTCCCAGGGAGAAGCTGTGTTTTGGAGCCAGTAAGCTAATAGGTGTGAAAGTGCTTTTAAACTGTAAGGCCTCTGCAGGCGACAGAAGTTATTTATTACATTTATTAGTAGCCTGGAACACCCCTATCAGGGCTGCGTTTCAAATTCGGCCACCTTGTTACTTAAGCCTGTTCGTTGAGCCTTGATGTCTCCATCCAAGAGCAGATGGTATTTCCTCACTTCCTCCAGAGATCAACGATCAGACAAACCAGTGAGCTTTCAGTCTCCGGGGAGCTTTGTCTGAAAGGAAGCGCTAGACAGGTGCTTATCTTGGATGCTGTCCTGAAAGAGCCAGTGATGAAAGGTCCACATGGCTGGTAGGGGGCAGCAGGAGGACAGCCGCAGTGTTAAGCTCTGTCCGTTCCCATGGGGCTCTTCTGGCCCTGCTTTGGCAGGGGTATCTCAGGCCTGGAAAGACTGAGAGGGAAGAGTGCCTGGGTATGCTGAAAGAGAGAGACATAGCATTATTAGGTACTGACATTTTATGAGCACTTAAAATGTACTAAGCTCTAGACAGTGTCACTCTTCTTACTTAAATTTCACTTAAAGTCGGGCGGGGTGGCGCATGCCTGTAATCCCAGCACTTGGGAGGCTGAGGCAGGCAGATCATTTCAATTTCGAGACCAGCCTGGGCTACAAAGTGAGCTCAAGGCCAGCGTGAACCGCATAGCGAGACCTTGTCTCAAAAAGACAAAAAAAAAAGAAGTGTTCCCATTTTACATATAGAAAGCTTAGGTGCAAAGAAGTCATGTAAAGTTATCTCTACCTTCTGTGGCTATACTACCTTTTATATAGCAAGTGCCTATGCACATTGTTTAATCTTTTTTGACATTATTAGCAGTTGTTGTTTCTATCAAGTGGGTTCATTATCAGAGTTTGTTTTTTTTTTTTTTATCTTTTTGAGACAGGGTCTCGCTATGCAAATCAGGCTGACCTTGAACTCACTTTGTAGCCCAGGCTGGCCTTGAACTCGAAAAGATCCTCCTGCCTCAGCCTCCCGAGTGCTGGGATTACAGGTGTGCGCCACCACGCCCAGCAGTTTCAGAGTTGAAGGAACTTTCACAAGGTCTCACAGCTAATAATTAGCAGAGGTGACTTTCAGAGTCATCCAAGCCTTTTTTTCCTACTCTTCCCTGTAACCTTATTTTTAGATCAGAAAGACAGATTCCATTGCTCAGAAACGGAGAGAGTTTAAATCAAAACCAAATGAAGGTACATGTATCAAGTCCCTACTATTTGGAAAGCTTGTGGGTAGATGGTTGGACTTACAAAGAACATAGTCTTGGGGCTGGGGATTTAGCTCAGCGGCAAAGCGCCTGCCTGGCAAG